CTCCCTCCCTCCCTCCCTCCCTCTTCCCTTCCTCTATTCCCCCTCCTTCCCTTCCACCCTTCCTCCCTCCCTCTCTTCCACCCTCCCTCCCCTTTCTCTTGGTTCTAGGTCATCTCTATCTGCTTGTGACGGAGCCGTGCTCTGCTGATGGCGATGGTAATGTAAGCCAATCTATCACTCACGTGCACCTGCAACATGCCTGACGTTACTACATCCGATTTCGCTACTGATGAACATGTTTCTGCTAAGAAACCACCTTCGTATCGCTAGTATATAGCCACTCGATCACTGCTGCGTCAGTGTGATTGTCCGCTGCATGCTTCATAACCGATAATACGATCCGAGCTCAGCAACCTATCACCATCGCCCCGTGCCCCATTTGTTTGTGTCTTAAGTGTGTTTGTGTGGATAGAGATTACTGGCCATGCGCTAAAACGCATTGCCACAGTTTTCCAGTGGTCAAAACAGAAAACACAAAACACTTTTAGCCATCTATATCCATCCGTCCGTCCGTCCGTCTTTCCGTCCGTCCGTCCGTCCGTCCGTCCGTCCGTCTATCTAGCTATCTATCTATCTATCTTACTCTCTCTCTCTCTCTTTTTTTCTATATATATATATATATATATGCTAACCGTAACTGCGTCGTCATGTACAATGACAGCGAACGTAAACTTAACCGCTTTCTCTGAGCAAAAGTCATGAATACTTGCTAGCGGCTGCTAAAGCCCCGTGATGCTGACCACCGCTAGCAAACCTATCCGCTAAAGATACAATCAAGAGCTAATAATACCTATTATTAGCTCTTGATACAATAGCTAAGGTCTAATAGATGATGGCTCTCGGACTACTGGCACGTAACGCTAACCTTACCAGCGTCAGTTACTATATTAGTAGCGTTATCACATTTCAACAACATCTGTCGATCATAAATTTTCTAATAGCTTAGTACTCAGAGTCAGTCTTCCTTAATATAAAGCTCAGAGTCGCACAATAACGCTATATAATAACAGCTAACAGCTTGGACTAACCATGCCCCGCAGCCAATTACGCTAAGTAAAGCAATGACCTAAACCTACTCTATCTAAACCTAAACTCACTAATCCTAACCTACTCCTGATCATAAACAACGAACCGAAGTGCGACGTGGACCTAATCGATGTGAGCTTACTTACTAAGGCTAACAAACCTTGGTTGTATGTGCACCGCTCACACGCACTTGTATGTCAGATCGTTGCACGGCAGGAAATAATGTTGTAGTAGGCGCCCAATCGGCTAATATACCGCCTCCCCAGCTCTAGAACTATAGCCACAGGGTTGCGGCATAGCGAAGGGATATAGTTCTAGAGCTACCGCCTTCCCAGCTAGCAGACAATGGGATTTCAGGAGACCTAGGCTTACCGCTAACGTGTCCCGTTGCGTACCCAAGCTACATGCAATTAATTACAGTCCAGCACAGAAGCCAGCCTTGCTACATATGCTGACTCCAGACACCCCACCCGACACACTCACGCGTATATACATCCATCCATTAATGAACGCCCTTCTGCCTGTCCGCCCATCTTATCAATAGAGACATGGTACAAGATTGCGTGGCACAGCTTTGCTGTTGATCCTGAGTGCTGCGTGCGGATGAGACGCTCAGTTCCGCGGGATATGCGCACGCGACCGCGGGGATGTTGAAGTATGAAGCGCTGTCCGCAGTGGAGACGTGCGCCAAATTCCAGGCCCGGCGCACGTCTCCACAGCAGTCAGCGGATGGTCTGTAGTTTTAGATGATAACAATGAAGACTTTGTTCTAAATAAGAACTATCGGCGGCTAAATAAGAGCAATATACAGACCTTTGAATTTATTGACTAGTCAGTCAAAAGGCTTGTTGGGGGTCCATTATGCAGAGCTTCCAATTGAAATGGCCCATGAAATTGTCAAGTGGAATTGTGTTTTTCGGAACCCCAAAGAAAATGTCTCCCTCTTACATGCACTCCCTCCCTGATCAATCACGCATTCAGGCGTAAACAATAACAGATATGAAATTGTGTTGAGTTTGTGGCTCTTGACGCACGTGCATTGACGTACAAGACTGTTGAAAACACAGGCACTTGAAACGTCTCAATAAAAATAAATATTCACACAATTTTGCACAATGATCGACCGCCTGTGTGCAAAATATGTGAACGTATAATGTGAAATATATACGGTTAGTACTTACTGTGACATATCCGTGACTAACTGACACCACTAAATTGGTAAAATGTTCCATGCACTTTGAGAAATTCTGAGAAATTACGAGGTTATCATCGCAGAACTCCCGACACCGCCCATCCTGATGTCACAAAGCTATATGTAAACAAACACGCGTGTTTCGAGGTGCCTGCCTCCGATATCCATTTCGAGGCCCGCTAAACCAAGCATAAAATATAATATAAAGCGCGCGGGCGAGACGTCACACACACAGCTACGTTCATTGGCTAAAACAATCGAGTAGCGCGGTTAGGGATTTTCGGAATTATTTAATTTTAAGAAAAACTTCAATGTTCAATGAATGACGCACTCGTTCACGTTCGACAGCGAGTGAAAATGCCGAAAATGTTCCACTTCGATGCGAAATGCATCGGCCGGGCATTTCATTATTTACGAAAAGTAAACAGGCTGGCGAAAGACAGTTGGTACAGTAACTGGTTAATTAATGAGAGTACGTTTGAATTTAACGGTCGAGTAGAAATTAACCAAGATAGCTCTATTATCAACCAACCGAATTCGCTATATTCTCAAGAGAGAGGGATATATATATATATATATATATATATATATATATATTGCAGCGTCGTGTAAGCCGCAAAATAACGCGATAACTTCACTATCATTTCCCATCGTAAGAACTTTCATTGCTTATTGCCGGTGCGCATCGCATAATCAAGGCGCATTTTGCACCGGTACCTGGGTATCTCACTATAAATGCTAATGACATGTGATGTGGTATTTAAGTTTATGATGCACTGTTGCTTTCGTTTGTAATACAACCGCAAATTACCATTATAACATTCTTATAACTAAGATCGAAAACACTGTTTTTTTATATTTTGCATTTTGTATTTCATTTAAAATTGTGTTTTGACATGTTTATATATTAATATGTTAAACCCGTTTAATCCTATCTATACTTCCACGTGCCAGCAATTGCTCTTGCTTCTTCGCGTTTCGGCAGAAATCTCAGCAGTGCCTGCGAAAATGCGATGGAGTTCTTTATGCAAGTATCGACCACGCGTGCACTAACGATCGAACAAACCCCGCAAATATCATCCACAAGAATTACTGCATTAAATTCCTATCGGACAAATAAACCAATGCTTAATATATCTGCAGTCGCACCGTTTGAACTAATGTTGACGTTCAAATCGCATGACAGGCGATAGCGTGGGAAGCAAGTTCGATAGAAATTACAATGCAATTCATACAAGCCATATCACACATCTCTCATATATAGTCGTGACATGCCAACAGTGTAAATATAATAATCAGGAGCACATGAATAAAGAGACATTTATCGCCATAACGTTGCAGTCATGTATCGCTGCTATGTTTCCGGCGCACATAACAACGTTGCTGTAGCAGCATCCACACACACACGCGCGCGCACGCACACACGCACGCACGCACGTTCACACGCGCACGCGCACATTGACAGCACCCACGCGCGCACACACGAACACACGCACGCACGTTCACACGCACAAGCACATATTGACAGCACCCACGCACGCACACACTCACACACGCTGACGCATACGCACGCACACACTCACACACGCTGACGCACACGCGAAAGCGCACGCACGTAATCTGGGTCGCGACAATCACGATTGTGTATACATGACCGCTTTCTTTCGTCCAGAGATCTTCTTGGCAACGTACTACCTGACCACAATGACTTACCCAGAGACGAAGCTGAATGAGCTCCATCGCCCATCCGTGCAATTGTATAGTCGTTAACGTAAGAGCATCTGTAGTCAAGTAGTTGTGACTTAATATATATTTTCTGAAAACGGTTCTAGGTTAATAGTATCCATCAGCTTGACTCGCTTGGTGTTCAGCCTGTCATTTAGTCAAATTTAAATTTTTCTTATGGATCTCGAGGCACTCGACCACCGATCCTCTCCCATTCTTTCACTCGAACGTTACTCCTGATACACGGTAGAGGGCGACGTGTGGTCGTACGGTGTGCTTCTGTGGGAGTTGCTCACACTCGGTGCAACACCGTATCCGGAGTGTCAGACGGCGGCAGAAGCCATAGAAGCCATAAACAATGGACAACTTATGGAGAAACCACCCGGATGTTCCGACGACCTATACGCCCTCATGCGGAGATGTTGGATGCGTAAACCAGAGGAAAGATCGACGTTCACGAAGATTCGTGAACAGAACGAGAAACTGTTAGGGACGTTTCATTACTATACACGGCTAGAAAATA